GCAGATCTGTACTTTGACGATGCGCTTTGAGCCTCCGTCGCCATGCTGTGCTGACTGCTAGCTTTGAAGATCCCACCTTCCAGGTGCTACGCTGCAGAATTACAACAACGAGCTGGTCAAGTCGATCGAGGAAGTGGGTTATCGGGTTGTTTGTTGTTGGTCTTGTTGCATGAGGGTGTGACCGCCAAGTGAAAAAGTTGACTTAAAATCGGCGCCTCACCTTAGGTTAGACGCAGGAGGCCAGCGCAGTCCTCAGAATTTCCCGCCCTGCAGCACCAGGACCTCCGAGAGAAGCGCGAAGAGCTGAACCGCCAGATCCTGAAGGAAGAAGAGGCGCAACTGCTTATCCTGATGCGAGAGAAATTACAACTGACGTTGAGCACGGAAATCGGAAAGAGGTCAGGGAGCGACACGGCTGATCCAGCTTGTGCTGCATGCCGGTATGAGTCATCAATGCACCTGGTCCCTGGGCAGGATAAGGCGAAGATCCAAAAGGACGGCGTTTGCTGCTAGTTCCGAGAAAGCCATTAGGGCACATGCTCAAGCAGGCTTTTCATCAAGACCTTACCAAGAGAGCGATTAGCCATTAGCTGCAGTAGAGGAGCTCTCCATCCTGACGGACCGACTTCAGAAGATCAACGAGAGCTTGGTCAGGAAGACCCAGGCCCGGAACGAGTACGACAAGACCATCCAGGAGCGGGTCAGCGTTCGAGGTCTGCACATATTCTACATGAAGGTACCGCGAAGCATGCCCCACCGAAATCCTGCCGGTAGATCCTTAAGTTTGCATGCCATCTAATTCGCTGTACTTCCTGAACCTGTCCTGGTTTGATGGTATCTCAGATACCCTGAGTTGATGGCAGCAGCAGTGCCACTTTTCCATGATGCTCCATGCGATGTTGCCATAGTCTTCCATGCGTCACTTCTGGCAACACTCGTAAGAGTTGGGATTTGTTGCTGTGTGATCCGTTGACATTCGAGTGGCAAAGTGTCCTGTCAATGGAGAGAGAATGTTCATGCTGCCTGGACCTTTCTCTCTCTTAGTTCAGCTGCCCGGCAGCGACCTGTTGCTGCGCCGCACCAACTCGTCATCGCAGGAAACCGAGGCAGCATACATGAAGATCCTGGAGTCCTCTCAGACGTTGCTACACGTTGTGACCCCAGACAAGCCCTGGAAGACAGTTTCAGGAAAGTTCGTGGTGTGTCTGCGTGTGTAATGCTTTTGCCAAATGCTTTCTCC